AAAGCAGCATAAAGCCTTCAATTCGATTGACTAACTTCCTCATTTCGCTTTTTATACCGTGAAGCGCGCGTCGCGACTATCGAGCAAACTCTTGAAAAACGTATGACATGTGTGTTTTATTCAGAATCAATCTAATCCTCAGATATAAACGGGTCACCTATTACTCACTTTTTCTTCTAATATCATTATTCTTCGAATAAAAAAAAAACCAAAAAAAGAACGAAGTACATATATTCATGAAAAATAAATTGCCGCGCGCAGGTTTCATCTCGCGTTGATTCTGTTTTTTTTTTTTTTTTTTTTTTTTTTTTTTTTTTTTTTTTTTTTTTCGCGAAATCGCATCAACGCTTTTCGCGCTGGCGCGACGTTCATGTCCGTTTAATTTAATTATTGCATATCGCTCCCGGATACACGAATAATTACGAGGAAAAATATACGCGCGAAATTCGGGAGAGAGCGAAATATCTGTAACATACTCGGCGCGTTTCGAACAGTTTCACCCATTAAAATCTTCCGACAAGTGTGTGAACGTGAATAATGCAACTCTGTGACGTGAGCCGATACATTCTCTACGAGGAAGCATTCGAGCTTCGCGTACACAGAGTTCGACGATGCATTCCAGAATCTTCAAGTTTCATTTTAATAATAAATCCTTTGATTAAAATGGATTTCTTTGCAAAGAAAAAGACGTTGAAAGAGATAATCGTCGAACTTTGTGTAAGAAATCAAAAATAAGGAATTTTCAGTAGATTAAACTTCTTCGATTAAATAACAAGAAGGTTTATCGCCTTTTAAATTCAAGTAAAATTCACTTTTTCACGAGATTCTTTTCAAGTTATTTAATATTAAATATCAAATAACTGGACTTAAAGGATGAAAGTAAAGCATAAGATAGTGAACTGAACAAGACTGATCGGGAATCGAATCGAAAATGTTTTCCAAGTTTGATGATGGCATTAATAACCTGAACAATATAATATCGCCGTTGTTAAGTTTGACAAGATGATATGTTGGTATTGCTCGTTGCCGCTGGTCGATACGGGCGAATTATTAATTCTCTGATAGAATTTGAATATACCCATTTGCATTAGTCAACGGAGTTACAGCGGCATTCAGTGCAATTGTCATGACATTTTCAATTATTCCGCTGCCGGCCGGTGTCGGACGGTCCGCGACAAACTTTGCCCATATCGTACGGCGCCAGTTACGTCCACCTGCTTGACGGATTACACGGATTACATGCGTCCCCTGCGAACTTCGACGATGGCATTCTACGTCGTCGCGACGAGACGTAATGTAGAGAATACATTTTGTATCTTGGCGTGTTTGTCGCGAATATTAGAAAATCAGATGTTGATACTGCATACTCTATTCCGCATTTTTAATAGCATAATAAAAAATATGTTATCGCGCGTTGAAAAGATAAATATTTGATATAAAAATTAAATCGCGTTTAACAATAAATATGGCGTATTGTGTGTTGTAGCGAAAATATTTATCTTTATTTCTCATAAGTTACGCTTCTTTGAATGCTCGGTAATCGCAAACTTGATAACGGGTAAAGCTTCCGTAATGAAAACGCCCGATGTTTATGTGCGTAACTTATCGCGCTGCTGTTTTATGAGAGTTACGTGTCTCGCAAAATTCAATTACAGACAACATATTGAACTCCAATATGTGCGGATGCATCAACAAATTAAAAAAAAAAAAAAAAAAAATTTATGTAAACAAAATTTATCCAATCCCATATCGAATTTTTAATAAAAATCAGCTGCATATCTCTATTAAAGAAACAGTCATTGAAATATTCTTTGAGAGAATTAGTGTCTGGAGATAATCTATTAATTCTTGTATGTTTATGACTTTTATAAACATTTTTATAATTTTTTGTATTAATATGATAAACAATTTTTTTATGAATATAGAAATAATCTTAAACGTACATTAAATTAAAAATATATTCTTCATGATGGAAAATAATGATTGTATAGAATAATAAGATTGATTCTAGCTATACAAGAGAGTGAATTGAATGACGAGACAATGTATCTTTTCTAGAGACGCGACGGTTCAGATATTTGACTTCGATCCAGCTTATTGCATTTCAATAGGTATATCCGCATAGAAATCGATGCGGCAACCGGCGAATCGTTGATAACGTCGTGAACAGTGACATACACTCGAGACTCGCGGGATCCGCGCCATGAAGACGAGGATCGTGAAGGTGGGCTGTCGACGGGATATTGAAAATGGAAGCTGGCACTCTCTCCCGCGTGTCATCAGCGTCATCGACCGCCGATGAAGATGGAGCGGATTGAAGCGGTGCCCCTTTTCATGCGACCTGAGAAGAACCTTACCGAAGCCGAAAACCGATATAAAAGATTTTTGCAAACTCAAGGAGCTCGTAAATCTTGCCGGGAAACGCGCGACGAAAGTCGATCATTGACAAGGATACGAACGGTTGCGATTTTGTGATTGAGAAGTTTCGAAAGATATTTAAGAACAGGTTTGATTTATTTAGAAGACCACGTTATTTAGAAGAATGAACTTGTTATAAATATGGATACTCGTCTTTATATTTGTAAGTAAAAAAAATGTAATATATTTTTATATATATTACCGTAAGAGCTGAAATTATACCAACTAAATGGCAAAATATTGGTAATATTTTTTATTCATCAAATGATGGACGCACGAGAAGAAATCAAATTAATCAAATTTCTTTTTCAATGAATTTATGACAAAATAAACTGAAGATTCTCTCTCAGTTAAAATGTAGATATCATGCATTCTGACATATATTGAAAACCTATGAAAAATTCCATAGAATAATGTGTGTTTATACATTGGAATAAGAATAATCGATGTCACTGTGTGATTTAAAAACGGAAGAAAGTATTGACGAATATATGCAACTTTTTATCTCAGGCATAAAATAATATTACTGAATTGTAAAATAATATTAAGCTATTTTGTTTCGACTCGAATTCTAATAAATATAATCTAACAATTTTAGTGCTTTATTTTTAAAGATAGATTGAATAAATCAAGAGCATTCTGAGATTAAGGAAGAAGCGTATCAGGACTGTAAGATAATGTCTTTAGATATGCATATGAAAAAAACGAAAAAAAATGTCATCATTATACAAATCGTGCTATTAAACGAGTGCATTAATCCTCGCATTTTTTAATTATTATGTTAACGCATAATCGAGTTTACTAACGTGCAATGCCGTCGCATCTGCCACATTTTTGTGGCATGTATTCGCATTTTCAGTACGATGTGTCGTTAATTAGCGTTTCTACAAGCAAAAATGTATGTAATAAAGTAAATCGGAAAAAACTGCAAAACGTAACGACATCGCGTCCAACTCCCCGTCGAGATACGCATAGAAAAATGTTGGTTGCGTTATTTTTCCATATTGTGTGTTAAAGAAAAAAAAAATTTATATATATAATATATAATATATATAAACACACACACACATATATCGCTGTGCGTTGCAAAGCTTACAGACAGAACCAAAATACAGTCCGCAGAAAAATCCCGTAAATTCCCTCGATTCAAAGAAATACCATAATACCATTTCGTACGATTTTGCCCTCGGAGGACGGAACAAAGTATCGGAAGTGAAATAAAGAAAACGGCGGAGCAATAATAAGACCGCCGCTTAAAAATAAGAAGAACCGAAGCGCCGAAATTAATTACTGCCTCGTCTAATCCCTTCAAGCGACTCCTCCTTTTTAATTCCCGACGAACAAAAGAGTCGGCGCTATAATACTCACGGATTTTTTGCCCGTATATACACTATTATATAATCAACTTAAAAAAGCTCAGTCGAAAAAATGTTGCAATTTCTATCTGCAATTCTTTCTCTTTACAAACTTGCAGCAATGTTTTGCAGAACAACGGGTTATCGGAGGAAGAGGCGCGCGTAGAAAAGAATAATGTTTGAATAATTAAAAAAAATAAATAAAAGGGCACATAAGAGCAATAAGGAGATGAATCTTTCGATATATACAGGGTGCGGCATTTATAGTGACGCGGGCATATTTTTCGGAAACGAAGTGAGATATCAAAAAATGTTTCAAACAAAAGTTGCATGGTTTCGAGGGAGCCACATGATAAAAATATGGATTTGACCATAGTTCACGTAAACATTCTACAGAATATCACATATGATATTCTTTCTTTCTCTCCCTGTTATATCGAACCACAACTATCTTCATATTTACATCGTATTCCGCGACAAAAATTCGAGCATTATTTCCGCTTCAATGTAACATGCGGTT